CGCTGACAAGCATGATCTACCACACGGGGCAGCAGTTCACTTCTGCTAGCGAAAAATCAAATCGTTCAAATGACTATTTTGGCCGTTTTTAATTTTGGTCAAAAGTAAATAAGTGGCCTTCAGAAGCAAGAACTTGTTGAAGTGTTCCAAGTAAATGGCGAAAATCGCTATAGAGGTGCTGCAGATCATAGTCCTATTTTCCCGCCGAAACTGGATTGCATTAGATGTCTATTAAAAATAACAATTCTAATTTTGTTGTCCTGTTGGAGGAAGACTTCATTGACGGACAGAGCGACGAAATGGAAAGCTGTGACTAATTATAAGTTGTTCTACCATCATGATCTTCAGTAAAAGAAAGTGACTGAGTTTTCTTATTTTGGCAAACAAATAATGTGCCTGGCTGTAAGGAGGGTATGTTATTGGTATTTTTACTGCAATCATTTAATAGAATTAAATAAATAAATTTCCAAATATTGGTATGCCACAACTAAGTAGTTCCAGTAAAATGCCAAATATATCCCAAAGTTGGTACGCTTTAAAATTTTACATTAATATGTTCTTGGTATTTTACTGGAATCATTTCATTCCTATACCAATAATTCCCCAACATTGGTATATCACAACGTAGCACTTCCAGTAAAATGCCAAATATATCCCAAGGTTGGTACATTTTAAAATTTTACATTGGTATGTTCTTGGTATTTTACTGGAATCATTTCATTCCTATACCAATAATTCCCCAACATTGGTATATCACAACTTAGCACTTCCAATAAAATGCCAGATATATCCCAAGGTTGGTACTATTAAAGATTTTACATTGGTATGATCTTGGTATATTACTGGAATCATTACATTCCTATACCAATTATTCTCCAACATTGGTATATCAGTCCTTAAAATGTCCAGTAAAATGCCAAATACATTCCATGGTTGGTAGCCTTAAACAAAACGTGTTGGTAAGTTCTTGGTATTTTATTGGTCATTTAAAGAAATCCCTATAATGGTCCAACATTGGGGTTCAGATTACCAATGATGTTCCACTTTAAAAATTAAAAGCGGCTGTATACAAAAAGGCCTATGTGCAGCGGGGAAAAAAGGTAATAGAGTGATCATTGGAGATTCTACAAAGGATATTACTAATCGACGAGAAATTGTCTTTTTCGTCTCACTTGGCCAATAGAATAGGACAGGAAACATCTTTCTTAATCAAATTGATAATCTGCTTAGCACTTACAACAGAATTTCGAAAAGTTGCAAGGTTTCTGCATTGCCAAATCCAAAATAATATTGTAGCGATCAGGTAACAGTAGAGCAAGAAAGAAGGCAAAGAGGCGCGAGACAAGAAAGGGAAGAAAACAGAGGCAGAGTAAACAGAAAAAGGGGAATTAGAAAGACGGGACAGATAGGGCGTAGAATAATTCCAAACAGCGCGTACGCGAGGGCAAAAAAGAAAACAATGTTCAATTGTTTTGACTTGGGAACACAAAGCACACTTTTCAGATTTGATCTTGTATGCACAAGTCTTCAAGGCATATGGAACTTTACTCGTGCAGTGAATAATAAGCCAAAGCAAATCAGTTTTCTTATTCTCAATTAACTTAAGGCGAGACTTGCGCCAAACTGCGGCCCACCGGTTAATCGGCCTCTTAAGTGAGGCAGCCCAGAAACCGGAGGAACGCACTCGGAAGCTCAAGAAGGAGATTATATAAGTTTTAACAGGAAAAAACGTCCGGAAAAGAGGCGTGTTTACCACAACGGGAAGTTAACAGGGATAAACAATTACGATAAAAAGCAGACGGCTCAGAAGATAACAGAATTGAGCGAGAAGAAAAATCAAAACTATGATCAAGATTAGAAAAGCGATTACCGAAAAAATAACAAGCCAGATAATGCCATTTGCATGTGCTGAATCTCTCCCGATACTTGGAAAGACTCGGCAGACGCAAACTTGAGCACTTAGTCTCAAAATCACCAATAATCAGACCCCCACGCGCGATGGGGGCCACTCAAGGTTTCCTACTTACAGTTTCCGATTTAGATTTCCAAATGAAAGGCCAAACAGCTCGTTTATATTCAGTGGAGACCCATCTTGGGGGTAGTAGGACTTTGGCAACATGCCAAAACCTACTAGCCCCAAGAACATTTAAAATCATACCTCTACCTAAGAGGGAAAGATCTCTTTGCGACCATAGCCCTTAAGTCTTTTTTAACTTATCTAATTTGCAAGGCCAATTATCTTCATCAACATTAACTAATCCATTCACAACATAAACTCCTTAAATCTTAAGTTTGTTAAGCCATTCTAGGCCAAAGGGGGAGGCGCCGTTAGCTCTCCACGTACCAAGCCACACCGCTTCGGACTTGGCAGTGTTGAGCTTGGCCCCAGACCCTCTCTTGTACTTGTTCACAGTCTCTAAAAGGTGACAGAGCTCTCGTTCTTTACAAAATTTGTAGCATCATCAGCATACTGTGATATTTTAAATTGAAGGCCACCTGTTCCAGGGAGTAGGAAGCCTTCGATCGCAGAGTTTTTACGAATTTGGTTTGCTAAGACCTCAGAGGTTAGGACATAGAGAAGGGGAGGAGAGAACACCTCTGTCTAACCCCCTCTCTAAGAAAACAGGAGCAGAAAGTTTACCGTTAAAAATAAACTGTGAAAAGACATTCGAATAAAAAATAGAAACCCAGCGACAGAAAGACGGACCAAACCCAAACTTAGCTAACACTCTCATGAGGAAATCGTGATCAACTCTATCGAAAGCTTTCATCTGGTAAAGCGTGACTAAAATCCCGGTCTCATCTGTTTTATTTATCATATCTAGGGTATCGCGGATCAAATGTAAGTCAGAAAAAATTGATCTACCAACTACGTTACAAGTTTGATCGGAATGAACGATTGAGGGCATAACTTGTTTCAGACGATCAGTAATTATTTTCAAAGCTAATTTATAATCACAATTGAGAAGCGAGATGGGCCGCCAATTCTTACCTAAACGCTTATCATCCTTCTCGTAAATAAGGCGCAAGAGGGCCTTGCGTTGACTCGCACAAAGCGAGCCATCCCGAAAGCAGTCATTTAAAACAGAAAGCAAAGGAGCGCACAGCAAATCCCAGAAAGCCGAATAAAATTCGATAGGAAGGCCATCAGAACCGGGCGATTTACTGGTCTGAAGCCTTTCAAAGCAGTAAACAGCTCATCTTTTGTGAATAATCTCTCGCATTGTTCTTGTTCTGCATCAAACAAAGAAAGGTCAAGATCATCTACAATTTCGGTCTGAATTTGCATGTTAAGGGAATCCTTAGAGAATAGCGCTTTGAAAAAGTCAACTAAAATAAGCTCAATGTCATTATGTGAACATTTTTCCTCGCCAGATTCATTGAAAAGGAACTCAAAAATATCCTTCTCAGCGCGCTTACGCTCGAGGCGAAAAAAGAAACCAGCGGGCTTCTCGCCCTCCTCGATCCACCGCGTTCGTGAGCTAATTTTTGCGACCTCGCACTCACTGTTAATGACTGCTTCTAAGGCACTGTCAAGTTTGTTTACATTAGAAATCTGGTCGCGATCGCCAGCAAAAACAGCTGATTTAGCTCTAAGTAAGCGTTTAGTTAAAGAATTGCATTCACAAAGGAGTTTCTTACATTTCCGAGAAGAAAAATTTATACAACTATGACGGATCTGAATTTTCAAGTTATCCCACCAATCTCCTAACGAGCTAAACAGAGGAATTTTTTCCTTTTCAGCAGTAATCAGGAAAGTCATAGTATTAATAAAATCATCATCGAAAAAAAGGGAACAGTTAAATTTCCAAACACCGCTTCCGTGAAGAGAAACATTAACCGGGGAAATGAATAAATCGACAAAATCGTGATCAGAGAGGGGGCAAGGAAAACATTTATTCCCGCGAATTGACTGAAGGAGAGAGGAGGAAATATAGAAGCGATCGAGGCGAGAAGCCTGAGAAAAATCCTCATTAGACCAAGTACAAGAAATCGCCTTCAGATGTTTCTTACGGCCCACAAGCAGCGCTTGTCCGTGCTAAAATCCGATTGAATATGCAAGCAATCGAGATCAGAGTGAATACAATTGAAATCACTACCTAAAAATTAAATCGCCAGGTGACAGAAAGAAAGTATGAAGACGATTAAAAAATAATTTACGGTCGGACACGGTGTTTGGAGCGTAAAGACAAATAACATTAAATTTAAAAGAGTTCAAATCAACAAGAAGGCTTAGAATTCTACCATCAGTGTCGTGGACATAGCAAATAATCTTACCAGAAAATTTAGGGGAAACAAAAATAGCTACGTCCGCAGATTTGCCGATCCCAAAGGACCAAAAACATTAACCTCTAAAACATTTCTCAATTAAATCAGCTTGAGTTTTACAGGAAATATGTGTCTCTTGTAAGAGAAAAAAATCATAGTCTAGATTTTCATTCAACTCATGAAGAAAGAGATCGCGTTTACGGGTAAGTGCCTAATCCACGAACATTAATAGTAAGAATTCTAAGTGGGTTATATGTGAAGGTAGTTAATTAAAATAAATTAGTGTGACTTACTCTTATGCTTGTCTTTCCGATGTGACCCTTTAGTCCATCCCTCGCTCTCAGAGCCAGACCCACTGTCACTATAATCGCAGTGGCGATGAGAGGAACGATCGCGCGACGAACGAAAGCAATCGCGATCCTGTTCACGATTGCTTCTCTCATCCCTTCTGTAGTCATCATCATCTTTATGCCTTCTGCTGTAGTACTTGTCGTGCTTTCTTTTCTCCCGTTCTCTCCGATCTTCTTGTTCTTTCTCCTCTCATTCTTTCTCCTTTCGCTCCTTTCACTCTTTCTCCTTCCATTTTTTCTCCTTTCTATCCTTCTCCTCCTTCTCCTTGCGTGTATTTCCTCGCGCCTCACGTGCTCCTCCTCCTCGCGCTTAGCGCGGCTGCTTTCCTCCTTGGTTTTCCTCGCAGCATCATGGAGTTTTCTGTTTCTTGCGGCCCCAGTTTAAGACATTTCGGCGTGCTTGGCCGACTTGGCACCGGTGACATTAGAGCTGTAATAGTTAAAAGGACAGGTTGAGGTCTCATGACTGTCAGCAAGGCACACGCGGCAGAGTGCCGGCATATCACATTGCTTGGCGCAATGGCCTGGTCGCTCGCAATTAAAAGAACGCTGGGACTTGCACGCAGCCGCAAGATGGTCTTCTGAACCGCAGTTGCAGCAAGTCTTGGGTTGGGACGGGTACCAAAAACATACGAACTCTCCAGCAATGAAGGTCTTAGCTGGAATAGGTTGCTCAATAAACATTCTTACGGTATGAACACCATTTAAAATGGCGTCCTCCACGCGGTCGCATTGAAAGGAAATGATTCTGCCGTAGTGAGCTAAACGGCAAATAACGACAGAGTCAGGCATCTCATCAGGCAGTTCGCAGGTCTTGACAATTGAGACCTTGTTTTCGCAGTCCCCAAGAAGAACGGAGCAGCCGGCAATGCTGATAGAGTGCTCGTTAAGTGCAGCGTCCTTAACAGCCTTGCTACTGAAGGTCACCACCATGAGTTATTACTCGTTCGGCGCTGAATTGAAGTGATATCATTGATATCAATTCCTACTTTATCAAAGCCAATAATATAATAATATAATATAATTCCGGGGGGCGGTCTCCAGAGCCCTCCATCAGATTGTCGCTGTCCAGGGGGGGGGTAAACAGATCAGGTCATGTACTGGGTTTGTTGACAGTTTCACTAATTACTTGAATAAGCGGCTCTCCCACATGCATGGGAGCATCAGAGTTGGACATCTCGCAGGATGAGAAAAGGGCTCCTCTTAGTTTGAGTTAGCAGATCAGAGCCTGAGTGAAGTTAAAGTTAGCGGTGTTTCACCGTAACTGTTACAGTTATGTGGGTAAAATTAACTGATAAGTACCAGTCAAGTCAACTACATCTATCTAGTGGGGCTAATTCTGACAGGCAGCTGGACAGGAATTACTTTATTCCAGCCTGCTCATGAATGCTGTTGGCCTTGCTTTCCCAACACCTCCTCTCTCCTCCAGACCACTGGGATCCACTTTAGCCATTACCATGTAAACTAAATCCTTTGGCACGTTGAGACCACGTATCTCTCGTATCTTCTCATGCATGGCTCTGTAGCCGAGCAGTTTCCCTGGACCTGAAATCTCTTTTTCTACTGCTGCTTCCACGTCACTTACCTCGACATCCTAGTCAGTAAATTGAATTCCAAAATACTCCATTCGACGTGCCAGACTTCTAAGGCTCCAAGCGTACATGGGGTAATCTTTTCTCATCAAGTCTAATATTTCCATTCTCTTGAAATTCAGACTGACAAACTTAGCTAGGTCGTTTTTTAAATCACTGTCATCTTGCCAATCGCTATTTCTAATTCAAGCGTCCGCCATATTGGGTCTAGCACCTGGAAATCGAAATGCATTCTGGTCTATGGCACATCTAGGCTTTTTTTTTATATAATTATTATTTTTCAAAATGTATATTTTTTTTGCTATGGCACTCATAGACCATACTCATTTCTTTTATTATTTTTATTGTTTACTATGGCACTGATAGGCCATTCTCATTTATTTTATTATTTTAATTTTTACTATGGCACTCGCAGGCCATACTCATTTATTTCCTTTTTTTATTTTATTTTCTTTGTTGTGTGAATGAGAAAATAAAAAGAAATATAAAAGAAATATAAATATAAATATAAAAAAATAAAGGTAACTAATCAATAAAAGAAAAATTATTCGAAAAAATATAAAAAGAAAAGAAATAAAAAAGAAATAAAAATAAAAAACAAAAAAATATATAAAAAATAAAGATAACTAATCAATAAAATACAAATTACTGCAAAAAAAAAAAAGATTTACTTTGGCTCTACAGCTTTTTCCTAGGGCGCACATGGGCCACTATAGTTTAGCCTGCTGGCAACTCATTAGATCTTCTTGGGATTTTGTACTGCGCTGTCTAGTTCGTGTCTGGGTCATTTCACAATAAGGTACGGTACATTGTGCTCGGAGTACGCTTTGTGTCCGTTGACGAAATTTTTAAATTTGACATGAATTCTGCTGATAGCTCTTGGACTCAGTTCCGTCAGGTAATAGAAGACCTCATTGGTGAATGCGAAGACCACATGTGCAGAGATGACTATGCTGTGTGTGAAAACTTGTTACAGCGTCTTCATTCTGCCCAGATTGGCTGTGAAAGAGTTGCATCCTGTTTAAGCTCATCTCTTAGAAATATAGAATGGCCTAATGACGAAGTCGCTTTGAAAGTTAAACAGTTGTCGAGCCACTTGCAATGTGTTATTGATTGTGTTGAGAAGAAATTGTATGACTTAGATTCTTCTGCTTTTGTTTCACCTTGGCTGCCAGATGCCTTAGTTTACAGCACCAGATTAGTTGGTCGTTAATCTTGTGCAAGTTGAATTTCTTCAGACATGGCGCTTTTCATGGACTCGAATAGCTTTTACTCTTTGCATCTCCAGGACTACTCTTTGGAGGCGTCTAAAGGAAGCAGGATATCAATTTGGTAACGATAAATTCACTAACGTTTCTGACAAAGAGTTAGGGGAAGAAATTAAGTCAATTAAAGAAAATTTTCCAGTGTGGCGAGCACATGGTAATTGGAATTCTTAGAAGTAAAGGGTTTTTTTTACCTCGCCATAGAGTTAGGGATTTTATTGGAGATCATGATCCAGTTAGTGTTCTTCTCCATTGGACACAAGCCACTGTTCTAAGAAAATATAGCGTTGCTGGACCCAATGCCTTGTGGAACATCGATGGTTTACACAAACTAATCAGGTGGGGATTTGTTGTTCATGGTAGCATGTGGATAAGCAGCATCATGTGTTATCTCTATGCAACCGCTCAATTCTTTGATTGTGTACAGAAGAGCCAGTCAAATGAGACGATCTGTCGGAGCCTCTCTTTGCATTCATATACTGCGCAACTTCAACATTTTCTGAACCACGATCCGAATGCACCCGAGAGGGCAATCCATACTTGCGAGTAGCTTCAATGAAATTGTCAAGGATAGTCGCAGCGTTGTTATCAATCGATTTGGTGGTTGCGCCATCTTGTTTTGAAATCTGTTGCTGTAAGGCCGACGTACATCTCAGTAGTTCCTGTTACCCCCCTGGTGGTAACTGTGGCTGGGTATACAATTTCGTTTTGCAAGCATTCCCCTTCTAATGGACATTCTTTTTCGTTTCGGCAATTGCACATTTTTTTGGGTTGATTTTCTTCCGGTCTACCACCAAATGTCTTTTAAGCTTGAGGAAAGGCGGAACGACACCGAGCTGAGCAAATATTTGTGGAAACTAAAGGAAAAGAAGGAAGGCTATTCAATTTCGTGGAAGATCATCGCAAAGGCCAAGGCATACTCTAATACCACTAAACGCTGTAACTTATGTATCACTGAGAAGTTTTTCATATTATCTAATCCACAGATGGCCACTCTGAACAAACGAAACGAACTCATATCAAATTGTAGACATTGAAGAAAATATATTCTCAAGTATTCCTGAAATTTTGTTTATTGTATCATAAGTGCGCATAGGTTTTTTGTATTTATAAACTAGTATTTTTTGAATAACGCCTCTGTCATGACAACGGCAAAAATATGTCACGCGATCATGTTGCTGTGTTAACTGTTGTGATGCTTCAGTGTGTATGGAGTTTAACTGATGAGTGGATCAACTTTTTGTTGGTCTACGAAACAGACCTGTATTAAAATCCATATGTGCTCATATTGAGTAGTCTATTTGATGTTAAACCGCTCCTTAATTGTAGAGCACTGTTCTGGATCCAACAGTGAATTACCTGGATTTGTTTATATATACACATATGTACATATGCATAAGTTGAATAAAAGTAAATATGGCAAATAACAAAATAAATAGATGATAATTCAAAATTATAATTTACTTCACTTATTTCATGTGCTTTCCTAAATTTAACTTAAAATCAGATAATGATTTGCAATTTACTAAGTCAACAGGCAGTGAGTTCCACTCTGTTATTGATCTAGGATCTTAGAAACTTTTGGTATTCTATAGTTAAAAGCATGGCTGTTGCATGTTCTTAATTCACTGTTTGGTATTAAGTGTTCTTCTGTGTTTATGTCTACTAGATTATGACTAAGTTTGTACATTAAAGTCGATCTGTTTTTCTTTCGTCTTGTTTCTGTGTCCATGTCAGATCAGATAACATGTCTGTCACACTTTCTGTTTTGTTGAAGTTTTGAAGGCAAAAACGAGCAGCTTTTCTTTGAACTCTCTCCAAGGTTGAAATATCTTTTTTGTAGTGTGGGTCCCACGAGGCACTTGCGTACTCCAGTTTGGGTCAGACGATGCTGGTATAGGCTGTTTCACGTACTTTCCTGGGCCAGTTCCAGAGATTTCTCTTGATCAACCCCAAGGATCGACTCACCTTGCTTGAGATAGATGAGATGTGTTCAGACCACTTTAATTTACTGTTAACAGTGATTCCTAGGTACGATGCAGAGTCTACTTGTTTGAGTTTGGACCCACAGAGAAAATATGATCTTTGCTTATTTGAAATGCAGATGATGTTGCATTTAGAAGGGTTAAATTGCACCTGCCACTCATTTTGCCAGATTTCTAGTTTGATGAGATCGTCTTGGAGATTGTCGCAATCTGAGTCTTCAACCACCACTCCGTACAAGAGAGTGTCATCGGCAAACAGCTTCACTGTAGAGGTTAGACCGTTTGGCAGGTCGTTAATGTATGTTAGGAACAACAGCAGGCCTAGTACTGACCCTTTTGGTACACCAGAGGTCACTGGGGAAGAGGTAGATGTTGCACCCTCACAGATGACAGTTTGGACACTCTTCATGAGAAAGTGGGTCTACAAGGGCTTATGTATAAACATATTATTAATAATAACAACAACAAGTGCCAATGCACAATTCAGTTCATCATTTTACGAGGGGCTTGCTTGTATTGCTCCGACATCCTGCTTGTGTAGTTTTGTGGCATTTACCCAGTAGGCACGTCGTAACCACCAACCGGTGTAGCTTAGTAAAACCTCCATTGCTGCAAGACTATACGGTGGTTTATTATAGTAGTCACTACGTAGCCTGGTCATTGTTGTGGCAGGATTAGAAACCAATTTTAGATTGTATGGCTGCATAGAGCTTATTATATTTCAGATTGTTTGCTCTGTCGTATGGAGTTTATTATATTTTTTAATCTTGGGGATGTTACAATCCCGTTTTAGGGATAGGGGACAGGGTGGCAATATTTTTTAACTTTTAAATTAGGAGATTTACAGGAAATGGGTTTTAAGAACCTTTAATAACATTATATATTGGTTTTAACTCAGCTGCCCCCCCCCCCTATAAAAGGGAAACCAGAGGGATGTTGAGGAAAACCACACAGTGCACGATGTAGGATTGCTGTCTTAGGAAAGGAGATTTTCTCGCGACCTAGCTCAGAGTGATAGATAAAGAAAGGAGCAAGAGATTAAAGACAGAAGCAACACATAAGGAAGTACAGGACAACAGCAATGGAGCACATACCTTGTAATACAAAGAGAACTTATACTTCACGAGAGATTACATGAATTGTTTCTTTATTTCAGGGCGAAATATATCTCACTTGGGTTCTGCTCTCTTTTTTGAAAATAGCACATGTTGGTCTTATAAGATGTGCGAAATATATCTTACCGACAAAACATATGGATCTTTACATTGAAATACTTTTTCATTGCTCTAATGAAGTTAAGACAATTAATTTTGTAATAAATTAACTTATCCTTGGATGTCTTAAATTATTCATTTTGTATTTCTAAAAGAATGCGGTTAGCCAAACGGTCCAGCTGCCCAGCCATGAGTTGGAGGTGGGCAGCCACCCGTTTAGCCTCCATTTTGGTGTTTTTGATTTCTTTTGCCTTTAGTTTGAATTTTCTTCTTTTTGTCTTAACTCTTTCTTTTTCCTCCATTTCTTTTTTTCCTTTATTTTTGCTTTAACTCTTCTTCTTTTACCCTCAATTCATTTTCTTTTTCCTCAATTTCTAGTTTCTTTTCTTCCATTTCAATTGCTGAGAGACCGGTTCTGATTTCCAACTCTTCTTCCGGGGATAGCTGTAAAAATGAGTGACCCACCTATGATAATCCGTCTACTTTTTAACGTATTTAATGTTTCAAGTAAAATGACTCTATACATGTCCTGGACTTTTGAATAGACTTTAAGATAAAAACAAAGAATATTCCACATTTCCATCTACTTGGTGACTCTCCATAAAGTAAACCTGCAGCTAGGGCTTTCCACACGTTGCTTGGCATAATAATAGAATGTGGGCTATTGAGGACAAATTTACTTAGCAATGCTGGTTACACAGCAAAATTGCGCAAAAATACTTAGAAATCTTACTTTCATTGTACAATTTCTGTATTTTAACATCAATAAGTTTTTGGTTATTCGCGCAAATTTTCAGTAACTTTTCTGAGAAATCACGGGAAACTTTTTGGAAAATCTCGAGCAACTTGTGGAATGCCCTACCTGCAGTGGCAAGAATAGCATTTTTACTTTATACCTCTCACCTGTCCCTCTCTGGAATAGAGAAGCATCAAGAGGTAGCCTGTTGCTGGCTTCTTTGAAACGACTCCTGAAGTAGGATTCTCATCAATCGTGCATTCATTTGCCGACGTTGCACATCTGACCTTTTTTTCCTCTAGGATTCTTTTGATATCAACTTTGTTGATTGTGAATCCTATTTCACTTGCCTTGACGTAAAAGATTTGTTGAAGTTCATCGGTGGAATAATCCAGGAAAACGAATTTTCTATAAATTCTGGATCTCAGACTTAGTTGACATCAAGAAACTTGTCCATTTCTTTTTCATACCCGGAAAATGAGACGGGATCACCATCCTCCATTACAGCCATAGCTCTTCAATTGCCTCTCGGCCAAAATCTTTTCCTCTGGGACTAGGAATAAGGCAATAAGCCTCGTCCTCAAACAAAACTCTACCCCAAGCCTCATCGATCCTGGCATGTGTTTTTTTTTCCGTTGTCGACCTGAAGTATTGGCCAACTAGGCGCGATCTTTGTACCTCTATGATCTTGTTTTTCCCTATCTTCTTACGTTTAAGTTTAAGTTGAATAATTCTTTTTACCAATGTACAAAATAAAAATATTATTACATATATAAAAGTACAATAGGTAAAGGAAAGCAATAGGGGGAAACTGAATTCCCATATAAAAACTGCCCTCCAAAACGAAAAGATAAAACAATTAAGAATAGAAAACTAATAGATAACTATACATCATGTGATACTAAGAGAAAAGAAAAACAAAACCAAAATTAAGTTGTTTTTGTTTTTTTTTTCCTCCCTTTCCCCTTCCCCTTTTCTTTAATAAAGTACTTAGATATTAAATAAAAAAGAAAATCCAGATTCAATAGGAAATAATAAACATATGACTATTTACAAAGATAATTAAGTAATAACGTTCTAAACGAGTTCAAGCTGGAAGCAGACATAACGGAGGTTGGTAAAGAGTTCCAGTCATTAACGTAACGATTAAAAAATGAAAATTTAAAATAGTTTGTCCTTCCTGCTCTAGGCCTGATTTTAAAGTCATGGTTTCTTATAGTTCTTCTCGGGCCAGTCAGATCCACATATGTGGTATAATCAATATCAGGATAGCCATGAATTATCTTGTAAAGTTGAAACAGGCAAAGGTATTTTCTTCTAAGCTCCAATGTTGACCAGTTTAGTTCAGTGAGCCTTTCAGTGTAAGAATTATGAGATCCACATATCAATCGAGTAGCACGACGCTGAATGGATTCAATACTGTGTATGTGTTTAACCAAATATGAATTCCACACTGGGCAGGCATATTCCAGAATAGGACGAACTAAAGCGATAAAAGCTGTTTTGATTGGCACAGGATCTTTAGACCCAAACGTTCTCCTTATTAGACCCGATACTCGATTTGCCTTACCAACAATGTAATTGATTTGAGCGTCCCACCTTAAAGAAGATTCAATCCAAATGCCCAAGTGCTTATGTTTATCAACAGCCGACAGATTATTCTCATTTATCACATACTGATGAACTAAAAGACAATTGGACTTAGTAACATGTAGAACCTTACACTTTTCCAACTTCAGCTTGACCTTCCACAAGTCACACCAGGAGGTGGCAGACAAAAAGCTCTGTGCTACAGCTTATACTAAGGGGGAAGTCATTTATATACAGCAGGAAAAGAAGTGGCCCTAATATACTCCCTTGAGGAACACCAGAGGACACCTCCATCCATTCTGATGAATGACCTCCAATAATGACTCTTTGTGTACGGTCTGACAGATAGTCATGAAACCAGGAAAACAAATGACCCCGAATGCCATAACACTGCAACTTATAAAGCAAGTGATGATGAGAAACCTTGTCAAAGGCTTTTTCAAAGTCCAGAAAGATCACGTCGCCTGAGTCACCTTTCTCAAGAGAACTGTACCATGAGTGTAGCAGCTGAAGAAGTTGAGTGACACATGAACGAGCTTCTGTAAAACCATGCTGGCTCTCACTCAGCAGCCTATGATGTGTTAAGAAATTCATAATATGTTTATGGATGATACGCTCCAAACACTTCACTAAAATACTGATGAGAAACTGGTCTATAATTTTTAGCAAAAGTTCGTTCACCATATTTATAGATTGGAACAACATTGGCAGATTTCCAGACACTTGGCAACTTGCCATGATCCAATGACAAATTGAACAGCTGTGATATTGATGGTGCCAACTCAGCAGCACATTCCTTCAGAATTCTAGGTGAAATTGCATCAGGACCAATCGCCTTGTTTACATCAAGCGAACTAAAAACTTTATAAACATAAGCCACTGAACATGATAATTCATCAACTGTGTCCTCAGTGAAAGGTGTAAAATCCTCATAAGCCATCTCTCCAGATCTTCCACTAAATACACTATGAAAGAATTTATTGAACAAATCAGCTTTCCCTTTTGGCGTAAAGGCAGACTGACCATCATATTGAACACAGCTGGGAATACTAGCATTACCAGTGCGTTATTTTACAAAGGACCAAAATTTTTTCGGCTTGGAAGGCAAGGATGCTGTTAGATTAGCAACATAATTCCGGTACGCTTTGTTCAAACTATCCTTCACCTTATTGCTAAAGGACTTGTATTGAGCCCATTTAACAGGGTCCCTTGAGGATTTTGCTTTCCTCCACACACGCAGTTTCTTCAAAACTAGGATTCTTAATTCAGAATTAAACCATGGTGCATTCCTTTTATGCTTCAGTGACTTTGTTGGAATATTACGTTCAACTGCCTCCATAAACAGATCTTTCCAAGCATCCCAAACATCATTTATATCATCCATTAAGAAAGCAGTATTCCAAGGTATATTTGAGAAATCATCTCGTAGATTATTCCAATTGGCAGAGCCAAAGTTATACACAATCGTAGGACTTTGCTTAGGTCTTAAGATTTTGAGCCTCAATTTAAATTCAATGGAACTATGATCAGAGCTGCCAAGTCCTTCATTAACACTAAGGTCAAACAACAGATCAGGAGCTGTAGATAACACCAAATCCAAAATATTGTTGCCCCTCGTAAGATTCAAGACCATTTGATGGAAAAAATAATCTTGAAATATGGAGCAGAACGTCGAGGATAACGTATCTGAACCAATTGGACAAGACGGATTGGACCAGACAACATTGGGTAGATTGAAATCTCCAAGTAATAAAGTAGTTAAGGTGTTACCACTTCTCTCTAACAGGCATAACGATTTTTCCAATTCCAGCAAATACGAAACATCTGTAGAAGGAGGTCTATAAAAACACCAACCATTAAACGAGAATATGGGTTTGAAATTACATTCTCAAACTCATTAATAATTCATAAAGAAAATACAAAGAAAATTAATGTTTAATGAGTGTTTGGAAATCGGATGAAAAACTGCTCAGTATTTGCATCCTTAATTTCTCCTTCAAAAATGATTTTCTTTGAGAAGAAATATCAAACATTCGACACAGTGTTTCATCACCAGATGAAACACCTCGAAGTTCGTCAAAAATACTCCGCTGCGCGTCGTATTTTCAACTCCCTTCTCGGTGTTTCATCTGGTGATGAAACACTGCGTCTCATGTTTGATATATTACATCTTGCACCACATAATTTCACAATCAGTTTCAAGCTCCGATGTTCTGATGCTGCTGATTTTCTGAGAACAGGCTAGCAATACTCCTCCACCACTACGATCTTTACGATGCACGTGATACGTACTAGGGAAGATTTCAGCTGAGTTAATTGAAGAATCCAGCCACGTTTCAGTAACAGCGACTAAATCAAAACTGATAGACGATAAGCAACTGGCCAATTCAACTCTCTTGTTGACAATACTTCTTGCGTTCAAGGACAAGCAGGAAACATGATTCACACGTGTCGGCTCAGCCAAATGTGAAAACATATTTCAGATCAAGCACTTATTTAAATACTAATCCCAGTGTACACTCTTGCGTAAATAATCTGGAGTAAATAATGAAGCGATTCAAAATACTGATTTTTACGTACCTTAACAAAACATACTTCAAATAAATTAGAGTGGTTGTACTTGCCATTGAAAAAAAAAGAAAACAAGGAAATTAGTGCAAAATAGTGCTTAGTAGAGGGTTTTCCCTCAACATCATCCTTTTGGAGTCCTTAAGACTCCTTTAACCAAAGGTTGTGGGGTCCCAGAGGGAACAGTGGAGGTCCTAAGGTTAGTGTTGTTTCAAATTCCAGGAAAACAATGTAATGCTTCAGTGCATGATTTATTGGTGACTGCCACCGTAGTATGATATACTAAAGGCACTCAAATAAACATATCTTTTCTTCAATCAGTTTGTGTTACTGTTCAATTTACTCTAAAATGATTCATGCGTTCGTGAAGTGAACTCTGTCAGAGAGATACAATAGGATAATGTGCTTACTTCAATGCTACTTAACAGAAACTTCACAATAACAAATAACACTGAAATTTGAAAATAACCTCTTACACAGGAAAAAGTAACGGATTCCCATTTTTGGATATTTTTGGGTATTTAAAGAATACCCACAAAAATCCCAAATTTGGAAGAGTGAGACAAGTCTCAATCTGGGAACTTGGTTGGGAATTCCCTGGTTGGGACTTGTCTCACTTTGCCAAATTTGGGATTTTTATGGGTATTCTTTAAATACCCAAAAGTATCCAAAAATGGGAATCCGTTATTTTTTCCTATGTTAAGGTTTAATATCAACTCTTTCCATTAACGAAAAATACACTACAGATATAAGGTTATAACAGGGTCCAAGATTCAGGTGACAAGTTACATCAAAACGTTATCAACATTTTCAAAGCTGGGTCCTACTAGTCTTATCATCATCATTCTTATATTAAACAGGGACAAAACGTTTCACTTCTGCCTTTGTCTCATATTTCCAAATAGCCTTGCTGCAGCTAGAAAATCAACATTTTCAAAAGTGGGCCCAACTAGTCTTATCATCACCATTCTGTTCAGCCGTTCAAAGTTTAGTCTGTTTCTCAGCTAGGTTTTAATTGAATTTTGGACGGAAAAACCTCGCTTGCAAGGGGCGCTTGATACTGGGATTACTAGACTTATTAAAGCTAGTTGAACAAAATCAGGGTAGACATTGTTGTACTCTTGGATTAAATAGCTCGTAAACTGTTCAAAGTTCATAGCTCTTTAACTGCGTACCAAATGCTTCAACTGAAGGAATTGGTTTTTACACCTAGCTGAGTCCAGAACGGTTTCAAAGTGGTGACAAAGTTTGTTGAGTTGTTCAGTGCCATGGTTTCCTAACTCCCTTGCTTCATCAGGTAGTCGTCTAGGGTTTAAGATGACATCAAAACACTCCAGTAGCTCTAAGTCATCTTCTGGAAACCGGTCATATAGGTTGCTGGTAAGCTGGTTCAGATATCTTCTACTTACTGCATTGAACTGGGATCTAAGGTTGTTATTGTCAGCAACTTGCACTCCCTTGTAGATATTCTGCCCAGTGCTTGGAACATCACCTAGGTCTGCTAACACTCTGTTTACCATGGGAGATCCATCAATCATTCCTTCAATTGTCTCAACAGTTGAATTGACACTGTGTCTAATGACAGACAAGTTTGCAATGTCCTTCTGAAACAGAAGACTAAGTGTTCCAATAACTGACAGAACATCAATCAACAAAGCTGAGGTTAAAAGGAACAGTACTGAGGCTGTGAACTGCCAAATTCCAACAGCTGTAACATTTGAATCCTTTTCATTCTCCAAGGACTTAACTAGTGAGTCATAATACTCAAATATCATCTTGACACATGCCTCAACAGACAGCCATCTAACTGATGAAGGTTCTACCACCTGCTTAACTTTTCCATGCATGAGCGGCTGAATTTCCTTCAGTTCATCATATCGCTTACGTGAATTTGAATAGAATTTATAGATGCTACTCAAGCGCTCTTTATACTGCTCGAGATAATCTATGTCCTTACTTGCTTGTGAGGCAGCAAGGTTAAGACTGTGTGCAACACAGTGCACTTGGATGAGAATATTGTTCAACTGCTTCAACCTTACCCCAAGGCCATTATGACGTCCAGTCATAACAGCTGCCCCATCTGTTCCAAGTCCTACAATCCGACTGTAGTCATTCCCTTGCAGAATGCCTTTGTCTTTCAGAAACTCGCCGAGGGCATCCTTAATGCCAGCAGCAGTGCAGTTAGTTATTTTCTTGTGTCCCAGAAATGAGGTATTGACACAGCCAGTTTCTGAATTGACATATCTGGCATAAATGGCTAATTTCTTCTCAATAGAAATGTCACATGTTTCATCAAGCATCAGTCCAATAAAAGATGTGTGAGAGTCATTTAGTTCTTTTATCATGTTATCTTCAACATAGTTGGCCAAGACAGATTCCATCTCTGAAACAATTTTGGGCTTCTTGTAAAAAACAGAAGCGTCACTACAACCGTTCGCAGCCTGAAGTTCCATTAGTGGAATAAAGTTATCAGCAGCTATGTTGTTCTTAATCATAACATACCCTGTTTTTAGCTGAACAATGTGCCTCCTTGTAATTTCCAGGGTTTGGTTGCTGATGTTGTTCTTTGGATTTGAAACTGTCGCTTGAAAGCTTTTTCTAAGCTTGAGGTCACTAATAATCAAAATGTGATCTTTAGAATTTTGGTGCCTTTCCAGGGCCGACTTCTGAAGGTTGTTACAGCCTGTAGTTGTAAAAGGGTTTCTCTTACCTGTTGACTTACCGATATCGCAGTACATTTTTTGATTTTCTTCTTTCAACCATTATATTTTTTCAACCAAGCAGGCAGGAAATGCCCTTTTTTTCTTAACGGGCTCACCGGGCTGTGATTCCGAATCCGCCATGTTTCTTCAACTCACTTTCTGTTCCAGAATGCCTCAAAATCAAACATTGGTTCTCAAGCCTCTGCGAGGAGTTTCAATGTGTTTCCCCGATCGGAACATCGAAAAAGCAAGCTTGAGAACCATTAAAAGTGAGTATGGCTCTTCGTAGTTTTAAAAAAAGGAGTCCGACAAAAGAAGAAGATTCAAAAGTCTTTATATTTTATTCTCAAAAAAGATTTTTTGGGCAGATCTACTCAGTTCTAAACTAATTATTAGAAAACTATCGCTCTAGAGTATGTGCGTCCGAGAGGACCGGTACTCTGTGGTGTTTTGCGTCCCTTTTTCCTTTTTCGGCTTAACAACGCGTCTCTGATGCTCATTTGCGCGTAAGGGAAAACCCTGTCAGTATTCTAATTTCTATTTAACGGGTCAAGTAAAATCACTCTATACATGTCCTGGATAGATTTTAAGATAAAAATAAAATAAGGAATATTCAACATTTCCATCTACTGTGACACTTCATTAAGTAAACTTGCAGCTAGGGTTTTTCACAACTTGCTCAGCAACTTGTTGGTAATTTCTCGTATTAATTTCTAGCAACTTTTGTCGCTTCCCGCAACCTTTTGCATTCTGAGCAATTTGTCTAGTTATATTTTAATTCTAACAAGGTGAAGCACCTTTTAGTGCTTGAACTGGCCTTTCTTCCAATTTCATGATGTTTTAGTGAACAATTTATGAATTTCCTGTAAAAAACAAAACAAAGCAAAAGTCTTTCCTCTTGAGCAGAACATGGGCACAAGATAAAAGTCGCCAGGCTGCTAGGTCAGCGGTTTTAAGAGAGGATTCCAAATAGAGACCTTAAGATACCCCGATATCGGTGTATGGGTACGGGTAGTGTACCCGTAAATGTAATATGTTCATGTGCATGACTATTTCGATTAAGATACCTGAAGAACAAACATGTAAAATTAACTTTGTACATGCATGTCGCTTAATGCATACAAAATCTCCCTCAGATTCTACACTTCATATCTTAACAACAAGCTGGAACAAATAACTCATTCATACATAAGCTTATTGAAATATCATAGAAAGATTTTAAGAAACTTGACGGGAAGTCCCTCGACCGAAAGCTTGTTATCACAAATCCCACCATTTGATTGAGGCGCATCACCAAACAATTCCTTTGATTGTCAACTTCAACAGTTACTCCCATGCTAAATTTTTCGATGCTATTTCTTTTGCGAAAATCAAATGTTCGAGCAATTCTCAGAAATCCCCCCAAATACCGCCACAAATTGATATCGTTTCAGAGTTCAACCTGCGCATTTGAGGTCCAAAATCAATACATTTTGAAGCGCTTTCTTCACACCTAAAATTCAAATTTGACAAAAATATTTGAACAGACTTGCAATAACATTGCCAAGGAGTCATATAGTTTACATTTGTACTTAAAAAGTCTTAAAAACTTACTCGTTTCTCCATCATGTAGGACTTGCAGCTACTCGTAAATCGTCTACGGGTAAACTGGTGTCTACCCTGGAAAAACGGCTGGTTCTACCAGGTAAGGTCAATGACGTCACCACAAAATGAAAAAAACATGGCGCTACCCATAACCCGTACACCGATTTCGGGGTATCTTAAGGTCTCTAATAGCGACAAAGATTTACATCTACAGAAGGTCATCGGACAATTTCATTGGCTCAAATTATTTTTTGGAATTTATAGCCCACGAACGATATATTAAAATTGCGAACGTGACTCTGATGCTTTAGGGTCAAAATTGCACATTTTTACTACTCCATTTTCTAGCAATTCCCAGAAGAAACTTGAGCACAAAGAACACCAAACCAAATATAGAAAAATGACCAAAAAGCCTCGGAGTCATAATAGAATGTGGGGTATTGAGAGCAAATTTTAAGCAATTTTTTGAGAAATTACGGGCAACTTTTTGGAAAATCTCAAGCAATTAGTTGTGGAATGCCCTACCTGCAACGATAAGAAAAGTATTTTTACTTTATACCTCTCACTTATTACCAGAGTACATCGGCAAATGTGCACAGGCAGCTACAGCTACAACATCCTCCTCTTTTATTTGCATTAACTGGAAGAAAGAAGCATCAAGAGGTAGCCTGTTGCTGGCTTCTTCGATTGACTTCTGAAGCAGGATTCTCTTCAATTATGCATTCATGTGCCAACATTGGTTATCTGACGTTTTTTCCTCTAGGATTCTTTTAATATCAACATTGTTGATTGTGAATGCCTTTTCACTTGCCTTGATCTTTGTACCTCTATGATCTTGATTTTTCTTATCTTTTTAATGCTGAAGAGCAGCTCTGGAAAAAAAGCACACTACATTTGAAAACTGTGGATTTAGTCTTAATTCCAATAACCTACGTTCGATATTTTAACACGTCATTTAAACATGATTCTAACATGACTCCGAGGCTTTCTGCTCATTTTTCTATATTTAGTTTGATTTTTCTTGAGATCAATTTCCTTCTTGGAATTGCGACACAATGGATTTGTAAAAAAATTGCAATGATTTCCCTAAACCACAGAGTCAAGCTAGAATTTAAAAAAAATGATTATTATACATGATCACAAACTTCAGCGGCCGTACGGAAAGGTGGATTGACGCCAAGAAGACCAATTTTGCGATGAGCCAGGTCCACGTGCCACAGAGGCTAGGGTGCTATTCCGCCTTGGTTCTGTGCCACTTGGTGGATTTGATGAACGACTAAATGAACTGGACATGTTGAGACTTAATGTTACATCTGCCGAACGCAGAGACTGGAGTGCATTTCTTGCGCCATGAAAAGAGGTCGAGGGAGAGTGGTCTGCACTAGAACTGCTTCACAGCCAAGAACATACCCCCTCCAGATTTCGCGAAAGATCTCCGAAAAATGAACTTATGTCTTCTTCTGATTTATCCATTATTGGCGCAATAGGAAGCCTACATTGTCTAAAAGGAGTCACTTGGTATTTATATGTTTTTTTTTTGTACTGAACACGTGTTCATTTCACGTGCGTATTCATCTCAGCCAGGAAATTAACACACGCACAAAATGTAAGTAAATTCCCCTTACCCTGGAAATTTACACAGCCAAAACCCGTAGTCTATGAAAACACCACCCATCCACCACCTTAAGGGCTAATGAACATCTAAAGACATGCGCACAAAATTTATTCTGGTATTCGCAGCCTTCTGGAAAGTAAATTTAATTTGTAAAGCTGTTAAGGCATATAACATCCCTATGTGAAAAAAAATTGCTTCTGATTGTATCACCCTTATCCTTTCAAATGGTTTTCTGTGGCGACTTTTCTTGCTGAAACCTCGAAAGACTTGGAAATAATTCTCATAACAACTGTACTGAGTTTTATGAATAGTCTTTCACGCACTAGCCTTTATTTTAGCCTTAAGACAAGTTTCGTTTATTCAAACGTCTTCAGGTTTTCTGTGGAATAAAGAGCAATTCCAAATTATTAACGAGCACCCAGTGTTGATCTAGACTACAAGCAGTTAGATGATCATGCTCCAATCACACTCCAATAAGCTATTACTTTTAGTGAGTAAATTTCCTCTAGCCTGGAAATTTACACAGACAACAAACGGCAGTGTATGAGAACCCCACCCATCTACCACACTGAGTGTTTTCCTTTTTTTTGGTACAAAAACACGGTTAAAAAATGGGTATTTAGCACGTTCTCAAAAATACCTTATTATAGGAAAGTAACACTCCATGAAATTAAGGAATTGCAAATTAGCGCCACTCACATTAACACAAATTGAATGGAAAACGATTTTCGAATAAAGAAAATTTAAGCGAAAGAGGAGGTAGAATTTCGTAATAATGGAAATTAATGTGATTAAGACAGTTGGTGGTGTCAACTGGAACAAATTTATGTCAGTGATGAAGATGAACTCGAAATATTGTAAACCTTTGCCTTAGGTTTTAGGAAAGATGAAAAATAAGGGTAAATGGAAAGAAAGAAAGCTTGGAGTTAATGCTTTTTAGGTGTCAAGAATGTCTGGACAGGTTCGAAACTTGGGGTTAAAACAGTGGAAATTAAGAGCGCGGAAATTAACGCTGCACTTAGTTAACATCGCGGAAAGTAACGCGCAACAAAATTAACGCACATTGAATTAGCGCAAATTTTGACGATTCGCATTAATTTCATGAAGCGTTAATTTCCTATAATAAGGTGACTTTACCATGAAGAGATATTTTCTTTTTTAAGTGGGAAACATGTACAAAGCACCATTCGTATGTAAACTTAAATATGCAATTGAGTTGTTAGAGACATCCATACTTAACTTTGGTGACAGTTTATTGGAAAATCTTCAGAAATTAAGTTTACAGTACATTTGAGGAACATAAAACTATTGATAGTAATCTCTTAGGCATTTTAAATTACACTATGATCTTCGGAATCCTAAATACTTAAGCTATTGATCTGTGATTAATTCTACTACTTAATATATGTGGGACGTATGGGTTATCCGAGTGACGCCTGCCCACTATCAAAATTCCAAATAGTAACTTAAGCAATACTTAATACATTGCAGGGCGTATGGGTTATCTGATTGACACCTGCCCTTTAGGAAAATTTATAATTGTAACTTAAGCTATTGATCTGTGATTAATTCTACTACTGAATACACGTGGGACGTATGGGTTATCCGAGTGACGTCTGCCCACTATCAACATTCCAAATAGTAACGTAAGCTATTGATCCATGATTGGTTCTAATACTTAATACATCCAGGATGTATGGGTTATCGGAGTGAAATGTAAATTTTACAAATCTATGAATCTAGCATGAAAATGTATTTCATCAGATGTCGGCTTTTTGATCGAATTAAAACATTAGAAAACTCATAGTAACTTGGTTTTGTTCATTCTGATCTTGGCAGCGTGTTCGCCGGTACAGCATTTTTAATTTCCTGTTTTCTTGTTGTTTTGTTAACTGTTTTCCCTGTTGTCTTCTCGAGAATCGATATAAGTACTGAAACCTTTTTACTCTCCATTACAGAAACGCGCCCATTGAAAAATGTCGCCCGTGAAAATTGCCGTACCCATTAGGCTTTGCGAGCTCAAACAAAGTTTCAAAGACCACTGCCGTCTTTCGGTGCCGTCAAAACTTTGAGCGGCGAATTTGCAATTTTTCTGTCTCACACCCATGAGCAGACAATACAGTTACAATAGAAGGATTAACCATTGTTTTGAAGTGTTGAAATGCAGGTTTTATCGGTTGTCCCCGCAACCCAAAAAATCCACCAAAACCAAAGTAGAAACAATTCTGGACTTTATTAGTTTCCAAATGAGGTTTACAATCGTATACAGGCGACCATCCCAAATTGTACGCGTGAACAAAAACTAAAGACAAAACCATGTTCAAACATCCGGGTTTTTTCACTTAATCATTTCATTTAAGTGTGACTAAAATGTCACATTTGAAAATTGAATAAACAGTGTCATGTCTACTTCTGGCTGTAACATCCTCCCCCCATGTTCGGCTACATCAGTTGGGCAAACACTCTTCCAAAAGGGCTAATTTCGCTACATGGCATCTTAATGGACCAAACTTTGGCTTCACTTCAGCTGACCTTACAACATTGTCAGATCCAGGGAAAACGGTCACAATCCTGCCAAGAGGCCAGCACCCTCTTGGAGTTCGATAATCAACTATAAGCATGAGGTCACCAACCTTCAGGTTAGGTACAGCTTGGAGCCATTTCTTGTGGGCAGTTAAACCAGGTAAATACTCATGCAACCATCTTTTCCAAATGTGGGTGGTGATGACTTGGGCTTGTCGCCAGCGCTTTTGGCTTGATATCTCCTTGTCAGCGAAGATTCCAGGTGGCAAGTTGGGGGTTGCTTTGCCAATGAGGAAGTGGTTTGGGGTTAATGCTTCAAGATTGTCCACATCTGAACTCACTTCAGTCAATAGACGACTGTTGACTAGGGATTCAACGTCAGCAATTGCAGTTAACAACACCTCATCCTTCAAAACTTGACTCTGTAGGACAACAGTAAGAGCTTTCTTGCAGGATCTCACCAAACGTTCCCATACTCCCCCCATGTGGGGTGCTGCAGGAGGGTTGAATACCCATTGAATTCTTTCTTGACTCAGCGTGCTTGCAATTTTGTCTTGATTCCACCCATTAAGACACTCTTGTATTTCATGATTCGCCCCAAAAACGTTTGTACCGTTGTCGGAGTAGATAACAGTTGGTTTACTTCTTGCAATAAACCGTCAAAGACACATTATGAAGGAATCAGTAGACAAGGAGTGGGCGACTTCCAGATTTACTCCTCTTGTTACAAGGCAGGTAAAAAGGCAGCCATATCTTTCATATGTAAGTCTGCAAGGTGTGGCCATTTCTCTTGTAATTCTCTGAAATTCACCCTTCTTTCCAGCACGTTCAGGCGATTAACCACTAGAACTCTGTGCCCATCAAACCTTGTACCAAAGTCGTTCAACTAACCAACTTGAACATCAACATGCTTAGTCAGCAGCCTTGATGATTTCTGAATTCCATTCAGCAGAACACTTTCCACTGGACCCTCAAGGCCAAGATATTTTTCAACATCTGTTGCCAGCAGACTGCAAGTACTTCCAGTGTCTAACATTGCATATTTGTTGAAGTATCCCTTTGGCCCATACGGGGTAACAGGCACAAATTGTAGTAAAACAGAGTCACTACTACTCTCATGAGATGCACTAGAATGCTCGGTGGATGGGGTAACTGCTTCTGTTGCTGCTTGGTTAGTTGATGCTGCTATTTCATTGTTCCTATCAGGTGTTACATTTCTTGATGAGTGCAGTAATGCATTGTGACTTCAAGTACACACATTCACTCCACACGGTTTCAAGTTCCTACAAGTGGTAAGCCAATGACCAGATCGGAGGCAGCAAAAACAGCTTATGGGTTTGAACTTCATTGAGGCGTTCTTCTACACTTAAGGCTTTAATTTTAAACTTGGGGCAAGCTGACAGGTTATGCGGCTATCCATCTCCCACTAAACAAGGTTTTGCTTGCTTGTTATGTGATGGTAGGTTACCAAAGAAGGTATTGTGCTTTTCACCAGCACCTCCATAGTGGCCTCTGAATGGGAACTTGAAGCAGTCATCATAAATATCCGCCTGGCCCTCCAGCCACCTACAAAAGTCTTCCAGGTTTGGTTGATGTAAATTGCTTGTTCTCACAAGGTCCTTCAACTTCACTTGGAGATCTGGGGATAGTTTATCCACTGCAATAGAGATATTAGCTTCAGCTGCTAGGTCATTTATGTATCCAAACCTTTTAAAGATCCAGACAGTAGTTGACACAACATCTGATAAGTTCCTCACTACAGGCGGTCTGTCATTTTGTATTCGTGATGTCTTTCTCAATCTGTCGAGTGTAACTTTTACAACAAGTGAGGGTTTTCCAAATCTAGCTTCCAATTCTTTCAATGTTTCATAGTAAGAATCCCCACTGTAACCATACCCTTCAATTGCAGACTTCGCTCTACCAACCACAGAGTTCTGAAGGTGTTGCATCTTTCCATTCAAAGACAAATCGGCTTAATGAACAATTGCAAAGGGTCACTGTCAAATTTCTTGAGCTGTAACTTAGGAAGACTTGAACAGCTATAAGTAACATGTTTGCTCTCAGGACTTGATGCAATATCAGTTTGTGCTGTTTATGGTAAAAGAAGGCACCGTCCTCAATTAAATTTAAATTTTCCATATCAAAATTATAGACTATACTGAGAACATGGATAACTGGGTAACAAAGAAAAAGATTAGTGTGGAATGTGCTCCTTGTAGAATTGTGTGGTGATGTTCGTCACATGAGCGCCCTCAACAGAGTTGAAAGAATATAGGCGGTCAGGAGCATCCTCCGGCTGCAATCTGTCACTTGCAACTTGCCGTGCAACTGCATCATCTTCTATGGTCATATTTTGCATTTCACAGAAGTTGTGCAGGACAAAACAGGCATAAACAACGGATGGGAGAAAACCAGGCCCATGTCAATTCTTTTGTTCAAAATTTGCCTTCTGGCCTTACACCTACCAAAAGCACATTTGATGGCATTTCTTGCGCTTCTCAACATATTGTTAAAAATAACTTCTTTATTTGTGCGTGCATGGGGGTACTCTTTGATACAGTAGGGTAGTAGTGGATAAGCCGGATCCCCTAACAAGGTTATAGATACCTTGTCATACCCTGGAAGAAGTTCCTTGAACAGCATAGGTATCTTTTCCTCTTTTAACAGTCTGTTTACCCGGAATTTGCAAAAATCCGTCCATCATGTACACTGCCTGGCCATTTCACTTCAACGTCAATAAACAACCCTTTCCAGTCACATACTGCTTGTACATTCAATGTATACTTTTGTTTATAGCTAAAGTAGTCGTGAGGATTTTCAGTGGGTTGATTTATTGCAATATGGGTTCCACCAACACATCCAAACGCTTGTGGAAATCCGTATTTATCTTCCATGCCTTTCACAATATCTTTCATTTGCTGCTCGGTTGACAGGAGTTTTATGTATTTTGGTCCCAAAACCCTGGCAATGACATCACAGACTTTACGTACAATCACAGAAACTGTACAACGTGCGATTCCAAAAGCATTTGCTGTCATAGAAAGCGAACCTTGGTCTTTTAAAAAGTACAAAGTCAAAGCGAGTTGCTTTTCCACTGAGAGCACATCAAGTCCTCTTGGGCTTCTGCCAGGCTGACGGTAAGGCCGTATTTCATCTGCTAGCGCTATAAATACATCACAATCCATTCTGAAATTTTTCTTCCAGTCTGACTCAGGCAGAATTCCGTTGTGTAGGTTCTGCCACCGCTGTTCTGTGCGACCAGGATTTCGTCAAAGTCTTCCTCGCCGGAAAACTGCTCTCCTTTGTACGTATCTGAGTCGTGCCACTGCTGCATTGTACTGGTGAGCTGCCTGTAGCGTCATTTGCTGTTGACGACGTCTTTCTTTCGGTAGTAATAAAAACAATAACCCATAGCACTGAAATGCCGCCGCTAAGGATGTGAGCGCGAGCAAAATTGAGTTTACCGCTAAAACACCTCATTTGTCCGCCATTTTGTTGTTTACATGCTAAGCGACCGCGTGATGGCTTCAGGTTTCTGCGGTTTTGTTGGCAGAGATAGCCCCGGGGATAACCCTACACATGTAAACAGGGGCTATCTATTGACCCTTCTAGGAGGGTTACCCTCCCTCCATGTACACAGACCCTAAATCAGCTTTTAGTTTTTTCATGCCCTTAGACTCTTTGTCATGCAGACAATGCGACGTGGGGTCCACACACAATCATCATATCCAACCAAATATAAAAAATAAAGATGTACCTTATCGTAAGAACTCTTTTCTTTGAGTACAGGTTTTCAAAGACAGTTGGTCGCTCCATTTTGTTGTCAGTCATCCTCGTGTTCCTGACACCAAGATGATCTCTTCTGTGGTTGGTTGGCCTTTAGTGTATGTCCTCAGGATGATTAGAATGTTGACTGTCTTGCACCATGGGCAAGGGCTCTACTTGATTGAAGACAAACTGGGAAAATGTCTATGGGATCTACCACTTTTTTGACTACTTTATTCTTCAAACTAGTAGTAGCTAGTTACATGTGTAGTAGTAGTAGTCAACTGAAAACAAAGGTGGTGGTGATGATGATGAACCTTATTTGCATGTCAAGAGTATTTATCTAATGAAGCTAATTGGGGACACCAGATATAAGTATTTAAAAAATAAAAATGATATAGCTAAAATTAATAACCAGAACCACTTGTTGGTAGGCATGACTGAGATCCAGCTCAGTAAAACTATAACAACCTAGGAACTACTTACTTGTGTTATTAGTCATTAGTATAATAATGAGTTAAATCTTTCACGAAAGTCAAGCCTGGCAATTACAGCTACAATCTAGAACATTAGTTATGTCCATGGTGTGAATCGCACTCTTAAAAGATTGTACGCTAGGTTTACAGCAAAGGTCTCTTTTCATCTTACCTCAAAGACAGGGTTCAAGATGCCTTATACTATGTCTTCCATAAGAAACAGTGCTATATCTGCGGATAGGGAAGTCCACATTATGTAGGTTGTATTATAGGTTGCATTTGTGTGTATCTACTACCTAGTGGAAAAGTGATTCCCTGTAATTACATTTGTCTGCTAGCGTATGAAAGATATCCATTACTCCCCAAGGTGTGGTGATGAGCTCCTTGTTAAATTTATCAATATCCAGAGCCTTTGTAGTTTTGAAAGATACCGCTTTGCGGCGATATTGGGATATCTTATTCCTCACAAGTTGATAGGTCAGATAGTGATTGCTTATTTCAGGATTGAGTACTCCACTTGTCTGTAAAATAATAATTGCCAATAAAGACAAAAAGAGAATATACTCCAAATTAATAACAGCTGTCAGTGCAAAGCAGAACAGTAACACACGTGTTTTGCATTTAAACCATACTTCACCCTGAATTGCAAAATATTATTTTAGCCATTAATTTGTACTGTAATCTGCATATGTTTGTTTTTGCGTACCGCCCAGAAAATAGGCACATGCTTTCTAGAAATTCTTATTGGTTTATGATTTTACAAGGTACATTACAACAGATTAAATGCAACATTTTTTACGATAAGAATCTCGTCCCTTGTAAGTAAATGAAAGGTTAAAAGAGTAATGCTAGAAGGTATATTTTTCAAAGATAAGTGCAACGTTTTGTTAAGCAGATATAGAATTTAAGTGGGTAGAATGGTTTCTTATTTCTCCTACGTACAAGAATACTTTGTTAATAAACGTGGCCGTGGGAAAACATGGCCGGATTACTGCGTTTTTTCACCCGCATTCTTGTAGTTGTATAGGCAATGACATTAGAAATGCATTAGAGTTCACTTTTTAGAAGGCTGAAGTTTTGGTGGGTGTATAACAAAACTGCAAACGTCACATGTTACATTTAACAATTAACTAGTGTTGTTGAGGGGTTTTAATTGTAGGGCGACAGTTTGTAGGGTAAGAATTTGTTCCCTTTTACAGTGAATTTAGAGTAATGCTAGAAGGAAGGTCAGTACCTTTGAAAGATAACCTCTTATATTTTCAAGCATTTTGGTCGTAAATTATACACCAGTTATTTGTTTAATGATACTGGTTTACATCACATTGCATTTTGGAGAAAGTTAACTATGTGGCAAGTTTACGACAGTAAAAGGTATGGTAAGTGTGATTGGCATTTTTTTAGTTTGCCATTATAATCCCAACTCTGGTTACTTGCCATGACTACAGCGAAAAGCGAAAACATAACCTGTCACATACCATCACACTACAAAACATTTAATAATAAATGGGTTTATCTCTCTTGTTGTAAATTTTGATTGGTTTGTTGACACTTTCACGGTTTTTGTTTTTGTAGAATGCAACAATTCTTAAAGTTTCAGTTCACTCGTGTACATTGTAATTAAGTTTTATTTTTCTTCAAACGGTTGTGATCAGAGGCAAATGATTTTCTCAATACATTGCCGACTGACCAGATCAAAATGGACTTAATCTATGTATCAATAAGAATCTCAGAAAATAACTTGCATATTTCCCCAAGCAGCTTGAAAATTATCTTAAGCCTTGATACTAAAGTAAACATGAGAAGTGACAACCAGTAGAACAGTTTCCTTGTTTAAGATTTAGCACTAACACTTGCTGTGATTACTACGTAAGTCTGGCAGTGACAAAGAAAATCTTATTAGTTATCTCCCCAATTTGTTAAATAGATAAACGGCTTTGAGCACTTACGGCACAAAAAAGTACCACTTATACGCAATTGTTTGCTGTATTTTTCAAATACATATATGCAGGAAAAAAGAAGTTGGTTTGTACTGTTTTTTTTTTTTTATCAGCATTGTCTTAATAATGTATGATGTTTTTTTGCTAGTAAATAGTAATGAAAACGAAATGTTACTTTTGATCTGAAGTCTTCTGGTTATTGAGTCTTTCGGTCTTATATGTGATGGGAGGTTTCTCCACTTTCGAACAATTTGAGGGAAAGAGAAAGAGCTGTCACTTCTCTTGAGATCCGGGATCAAACCACTATAACTGGCACATCAAAGGCAAACTGAACTTTGGTTCCAACAGCATTTACTCTCGTACACATGGCGTAACTTAGCTCACAAATGTAATCGGCGATGTAATCGAAAAATCAGGTCAAAGCAACTTACCTATATATCGTTTGAATAACCACTGAAAATAAAAGAGAACAATAGATGTGTAAACAGAAATCATTTAGAAGTAACTGAAAATCAAATAAAAGAGGTAGTTATAGCTTGTTAGTGTTGCTATTGTTCAAAAGTAAGAGTACTGGAACAAAAGCTAGCTAAGTTTGCTAGGTCAGCGAAACAGCATTTATGTACAATATTTTACAATATGAATGAAATTGCAAGGCCAGCTAGCGTCTGTTCAAACAAGAAGAAACGCGGACTAATTACTAGTTTTCTAGTTTTAAAGCAAAGGAAATTTATTTCGAATTTGCAAGTCACCAAAACCTTCCATATCCCAAACTCAGCTGCTGCCACTATGTAACCAACAGACTAATGAACGTTATATTCGCAAATACATGTGGGTAAAATGCAATTAAAGCGAGGCACATCTGTAAGAAGGTGCTAATGTTAACAGATGTCATACAGAGTAAAAAGAAAGCTTAAATTAAAAGATAAACTAAAGTTAATAGCCATTATTCTGAAAACTAATGATTTTTCTAAAAGTCAACAATTGAAGTTAAGTGCACCCAGTTAAAAAGAGTCAGTGGCAGATAGTTTTGACAGCTGTAAACACTGTTGGCTTTTTCTAGAATTATTGCGTTAACGAGCACTAAGTAATCAAACGTTAGATAAAATGGCAAGAGCCTTCAAAATGTAAATCAATAAAGTGTTCTTGTACAAAATATTATTGCTAAAGCGATTCGTAAAGCAAAGCGAAAAGCAGCAAGGCTTTATCAAGCGAGGACGGCTCAAATTAAGGTCAGAGGAATGTTAGGAAGTAAATTCAAGTAATAGGTAATCTTTGATTTCCATAGGGTTTTACTATAGTGGCGTTTGAATTTAATGATTTTTTTAGCCGTCATCGGCAAAGTGAAAATGAAAAACATAAAAGTTCCGGAAACCAATATCTATCCGAGGTTTTGTTCGGACATCCAGTCGAGATATACGTGCATTTTGTCTCTGGCGGTTGCCTTATTGTAATGGAGTTGGAGTAACTGTTTTCCTGGTGGGCAGGAAATGTCCTCTAAGTCTCGCACAAGAAGGGCTATACCGAGATAAGGCAGAGACTTCACTAGTCGACTGAATAGGGCCATTTGGTTTATTCCCTTCATCCAAATGGTGACTGTCTCGGGAACAGGCTGGTTCCGCTCAAAGACGTCCAAGATGAATTCCTGGAGGAAAGAAAGGAGGCAGGTGTCCACTGCACACTGCAGCAGACCGGTGGAGTGGAGGGCTCAACCATGGAGCTGTGACTGGTATTGATAAGTTTGGATAGTGGTGGTGGAGCTGGTGAGTAGTGGAGTCGAATCGAACTGGTGGCTACGTCACCCAAAGCGAGGGCCTTGAAAAAGAAGGCTCGTCAGCATGCTGGAATCTGTCGGCCAAGGCTATGACAGACAGGTAGGCCATGATACTATTGGAGTCTGTGAAACTAGGTTAAACCTTGCTTAATGTGAGCTCAAATCAAGATTTGTAAGTGAATGATCGGCAAACCCGTTTACTACATAAACTATGTTTATTATACCTTACATCAGTATTACAAAACTTTTAAAGGGTCTTTAGAAATGTCTTTCTTCTTAAACAAAAGCTAATTGATGCAATATAAATAATACTGAAGTATCTATAAAATGATCGGTACAACAAGTGTCATTGATTCCATATTCAGTGAACATAATATCAAACACACAAAGAAGTCAATACCTTTTGTTTCGGTGAGAGCTCTAACAGTAACAAGACGGTAACTCAACTCAATGCCATGACAGAACGTCGCTCTCTCAAGCCCCTTCCCATGATGCCTAGCATTAGCGTTATCACCCTCTAACACCTTCCCCCCAGTAAAATTTACAATTTTAAGTTCAACTAGAGTATCTTTGCGGCATTTTCACTAAGTGTCCCGAACGTGTACGTTTAATAGTAATAAGGTCCATCTTAGTGTATTTAGCAGGTTCTGCAGCCTTTGCAGTGTCTTTTAGTGGCTTCATTTTTTTTCCATTCTTTTCAACAACAGCTACAGGTAGGTCTTCGGCTGTCGGTTTCTGTCGTCCAGATTTTGAGGAGGGTTCCGTAACTTTGACTGGCTGATCTTCCTTAAGATGTACACGGTTTCTTCTGAGCAGTTTACCATCCACATTAACATCGTATGAACGGTATCCACACCGTTCTGTGAGACAGTTCCTTTCTTCCACTCCTGTCTTTTCAACAGACCTTCAGGCTTGACTTTAACGGTATCGCCAGGCTTTAATTCATTTAAGTCTTTAGCAGTGTGGTCATAATAGGCTTGAGATTTTTGGTGTTTCTTAGTTTTCTCTGCTAACACTGTTTCTGCAATCTCAGGTGTCAGTAATGTCGCTTTCATGGGTACTTCAGTTCTTGTTCGATGGTTTAGGAATCTTTGTGCGGGAGATGTTGTCATGCCAGGAGTAGGCGTGTTGTGCCGGTCAAGTAATGTTTCGTACGGACTCAATTTTGTTTTCTCAGCTTTCCTCAGCAAAGTTTTGACAATCTTCACAGCAGATTCAGCTTTTCCATTACTTTGGTGGTGATATGGTGAAGATTTGGTATGTTTAATCTACTTTCGTTGGCAGAATTGCAAGAACTCGACTGAGTCGTAGTTCTTACCACAGTCTGTGACTATCTCATCAGGAATTCCCCATCTCGCAAATTGTTTTTGCATTAGATTAATGGTTTCACATGCAGTTTGGTTTTTCATTAAGTCAAATTCAATCCAGTCACTGTAATAGTCAACTAGAACAACATAGTGTTCTTTGTTCCATTCAAAAATATCAGAGCCAACTTTAGACCAGGGTCTGTTAGGAATTTAATGACTGACTATTGTTTCTTTTTGGTTCTTAGCATTGCAGACTTCACATGTAGCAATGAACTGTTTCAATTGATTGTTCATTCCCGGCCACCGTAATGAAGTTCTAGCACGCCTAAGGGTTGACCCGGTGCCCATATGTGCTTGGTGTAATTTAATAATCAGAGTCTCTGTATAGGTTGGCCGCCTGGCATGAGGCAGACTCCTAAACCACTTGATGATGCGTCCACTTGGACTTCAACTTGCTCAGCCACATTGAAGTATCTTAGCAGTGGTGCATTCAGAATGAGAGTCTTAATTTCATCAAAAGATTTCTGTTCATTTTCTTCCCAGATAAACGCACTGTTGTTCTTCAGCAGAGCTCGTATCGGTTCTGACTTGGTTGACAAGTCTTCTGAAAATCTTGAGAGGTAGTTAACAACACCAAGTAGTCTTCTGACTTCATCTTTGTTGGTTGGGGCAGGCATTGACTGAATACATTCTTGTTTCTTGGGGTCAGGTTTAACTCCTGTGTCTGTAAGGACCACACCCATGTAGAACAACTCAGTCTTCCTCAACCAGAACTTCTCCATATTAAGTTTAATATTCTTCTGATGGCATCGCCCCAACAAGGCAAGCAATCTCTTGTCATGGCTAGCTGTTGCTTCTTCAATGTTTTCTCCATCGCCCCAGATCAATATGTCATCAGCTATGGCTTTTACACCTTCTAATCCTTCTAGATTCTCATCAATTCTTCTTTGAAATTCTTCAGGTGCTACACTGATGCCAAAAGACATTCTTTTCCATTTCATCCGTTCAAGAGGGGTATTAAAAGTATTAGAGAGGGATCTCTCTAGGAGCTGTTTTGTGAGGAGTGACATCATTACTTGTGTGAAGATGTAGTTCGCCCTCAAACTTTCCTATACTGTCATCAAAGACTTGAGGGTAGTTAGTCAGAATTGCCTCCAAGGTGAGTGGTGGTATCACTTCACTGGCAGTTACAGGGACACTTGGGTTAGCTGGGGCTACTACAGCAATATTCTCTCGTAAGAGCTCAATGAGTTTGAGTGTTTCAGAGTCATTTAGACCGATCAGAGGTGTTAGGTCTCTGTCAACAATTCTAAACTGAATGATCATTTCTTCACTGGTTGCAGGATTTAGCACAAAGACTTTTCTGGTTCCCAGGGTCTGAATTTTGGTTTCTTCATCTTAGAGAGACAGAACAGGCTTGACTACAGTGTGAAGGTCAGTGAGATCATAATCTCCACTGATGTCTTTATACACATTCACAGGGAGAATGCTACATGTTGAACCAGAGTCTATCTGAAAGCTAACAGGAATTCTTTTCTTCGACAGCAGTAGGTTTGCAAAAGCTTTCTTGTGATCACAGTTTTGATTAAGTACACAGATTTTGTCAAGAACTTGATAATAGTGATCCTCAACATCTTCTTCTACTCTCAGTACAAACGGTTGTGAGGTTGATTTTGATTGTTTTGGATCTGAGTGTTTCTCCTGTTTTCCTTTTTGTAAGCGTTTACACTCCTTTAAGTCTTGAAAGTGAT